GTATACCGGCATTCCCCCGGAGGAGCTGGAGGAAGTGTCTGGAGAGAGGGAGGTCTGGGCATCTTTGCTTAGACTGCTGGCCCCGCGACCCGGCCCCGGATAAGCGGAAGAAAATGGATGGATGGATGGATGTTATGTAAATTTAATTCCAGAGCCACTCTTCAATGAAGTCATGAATTAAGGAGAGCACTGTGACTTAGGAGGTGGACCAGGTTGTTTCCTAACCAGAGGATTAGCGGTTCGATTTCCGGCTTGTCCAGTCAACATGTTGAAGTGTCCTTGAGCAAGACACAGAACCCCCCCAGTTGCTCCCGGTGATAACACCGGTGTGTGAATGTGTGAGTGCGAATGGCTGAATGGCCAAGTAGTGTGAAAGCGCTTTTGAGTGTGCTGTAATGCATAGAAAAGTGCTATACAAGTATCAGACCATTTACTGAGTATTGATGACAGTGTCATCTGGAATGCTATCCACCATATAGTTACTGTACCTGTTCATTGTCTTGAATAGTGTACCCTTGTGTATGTGTGCATGCTGTCCCCTCCTGACCACGTGGTCTATGTGCTTTCAACAAGAATTCCTCTACTTCCTGCACTGGCAAAACACCTGGCCTCCAAAGCAGCTGGTCCTCACTGCTATAGGCTAAAGAAATGGGCAGAGAAAGTGGATGAGGAGAAGCGCTGATTAAAAGAGAGGCAGACAAAGAGACACTGAGCACAGATAGAGATGTGCCTTTTTTGATACTATCAATGGGAGTTGTAAAAGTTAAATTCTGTATATGCATTCACCTGAAATTACTTAGTGCTTAGTGACTTTAATACAAAGTTTATACAACATGCTGATCTACATAAAACAAGTGTAAGAACATGTTTTCGACTCTGTTTCTTACCTCTCTCCTGGTACGTATATGGACTGAGTAGGGGGATTTTTGCCTGGTACATAGAGCCGACCATGATCTCCTGAGAAGGAAATCAAAAACATAGTTCTGAAATGTGACATATACTAATACAGCAATAAATACTGACGTTTTGTGTGAAAGTGTGCTGTGTGGTAGGGTTCTTGGGGACAACCTGCCAGCTTTAAAATACAAGGACTTGACCATGACCACATCTCAGGTCCAAGCTACTTAGTTACTTTGGCTTTGGGTCTGGTCAGATTCTGTCCCCACTGATCTTTTCTCTGGCTTGTCTAAATGAAAATATTTGTAAGTGCTGCATTCAAACCAACAAAAGAGTGGCTTGCATGTGGCTCTGATGAGGTATCAAGCTTTTCTCCTGTGGAACCAGCCCCCAGTCCAGGGTCAGGAGGCAGATATCCTCTCTATCTTTAAGATTAGGCTTAAAACTTTTCTTCTTGATAAAACATATAGCAAGGGGCAGCACGGTGGCGTGGTGGTTAGCACTGTTGCCTCACAGCGAGAAGGTTGCGGGTTCACGACCTTTCTGTGTGGAGTTTGCATGTTCTCCCCGTGCTTGTGTGGGTTCTCTCTGGGTACTCTGGCTTCCTCCCACTGTCCAACGACATGGGGCTTGGGTTGATTGGTGACTCTAAATTGCCCATAGGAGTGTATGTGTGAGTGGTTGTTTGTCTGCGTGTTGGCCCTGCGATGGACTGGCAGCCTGTCCAGGGTGTACCCTGCCTTTGCCCGATTGACGGGTGGGATTGGCTCCCTAGTACAAATTCCATGTAAGGTCTGAGTGAGCTGGAGTGAGCCCATGTAAGAATACAGCAGAGTATAGTGCGGAGTATTCATACGTGACATTCTATCATGTGACTGGCACAAAATCAGAAAAATACAAGAAGTCCACCCAAACGGAGTATTTCTGACACAGACCATTTCCTGTTGTGTGCTACATGTGTGAAAGGGCAACTCTGGGCAAAGTCCTGGCCTGATTCCGTGGACATAGTCCGGAGTTCATGTGTGAAAACTGCTTTAGTGTCCTCGGTGGTCTACCTTGTGTTCTTTGTCGGTAGGAATAGTATCATCGTCAGAATCGTCCTCTGATGAGCTAACTAATCTGTCTTTGTCTCCACCTTCAAGAGCAAAAGCAGAGGATTGTTCAGGTGAATGTTCCAAAGACTGCACAGGTACTGTGTTGAGATTAAGTCAAAACTCTTGATGCTATGTTGAAGTCATGCGCAAGAACTTTTTTCACAAAACATTTCTCAAAGTACAGATTTAGTTAATTCTTCAGTTTTAACCATAATTTAACAAGGTAAATCCAGAGAGATAAAATTAACTTTCTCAAGTGAAACCCAGCAGTAGGTAGAACTAACAGGTATAGAGGCAAACAGCAAACAAAAGAGAATCACAGAGGAAAAAGGAACCTGCTATCTTTTACCTTTAGCTAAAGTGTAATCTCAGTCAATCTCTCCTGGATAAACAAAGCATACAAAAGCAGCATACCTGGAATATATTTAGTTTTCATAATATATTGTGGACGCAGCAACAAAACTCCCATTTATTTCAAACTGAATCCCAACCAGTTTGATTATATTTAAAGTAGTTCAGTTCAAAAATGTCTTGAGTGTCTTTGACATGATTCAGTGTTATGGATAGGAGAGGCATGTAAAGCAACACACACTGTCACATCAAATTATGCAGAAACAAATCAAAGGTTTCATGAAACATCCTGACACTATAAACCCTTACACGTCACCTTCCCGAAAGTAGCACTAAGTTATGAGTAACAGGCCTCAGTCCCAGCAAAGCGGTGATTTAAAGCTGAAATATTCCATCAGAAAACAGAGGCTGTTATACAGTCATGTGTAAACGTACATGTTTGTGTGCATTACCTGGGAGACGGTGGAGCAGATCTGAGGTGTCTGAGGTGACTGAGGGGGTGAGATCATCAGCTGATGATTCTTCTTCCTTGTCCCCATGAAACAGATCCTTTGTTATCTGATCCTGAGCAACAGAGAAAAAGAACAACAGAGCAGCTCAGTAAAGAAGAGCACGAAACAAAATGGCACAAAAATAATAGTGCTTGATACGTAAATGAATCTTAGATTACCATATTGCTTAAATATACTGTATTAATCCAAATATACCCTTTTGACTGAGCCAAAGGACCTGTACATTCAGATTTTAAATACAGTATGAATGAGCTGGTGTCCTTTGGCTTGTATCTCACCTTGTCCAGTGGCATGTCTGGCAGGCTGGTGGCCATGCGACAGCTCTCCACCTCTGGATCTGACACTGTATAACCGTACAGAGCCAGCAGCTCCTCCAAAGGCAGCTCACTGGCCTACAGAGGAATACAGTGACAGGTGGAGGGAGAAGATTGGGTGAAAGAGGGAGAGAAACCACAGAGATATTTGAATTGCTCCAACATGTTGCAAATCACCATCTTATGTGAGCTCAAGGGCACCAGTGGCATTTTTAAGGCTTTGCCCTAATAACTCTATACAGTAACTGTGACTCAGTTTGAAAAGGCACTGGCAAATAGTAAAACATTTCCTAAATTAAACACTTCAAGAATGGAAAGGGAAAAATACTATTCCGAGTAAAACCAAGAACATGTCTTTTTATATGTATCAATGTTCCAGAACTGATTTTACTCATGGATGTTGTGTCAAAAGCTTTAGTAAGCTTTGTTCTGGAAAAACGTCATTACTGTTCTGATCCACGAGCTTTGTTCTGGAAAAACGTCATTACTTCAAGTCTGTTCTGATCCACCAAACATGAAAAAAGTACTAGTTTGAACTGTCCTTAATGTGATATTTAGCTAAATCTGCCATGATGACATGGACATTAAAGTTCTTTACTCTGCATTTTATGACAATTATAAAGCATATGTATTACCTGTATAAGTAAATAATGTTGTACCAGCATCAGAAAATAACTGTGTAAATTCTGCATATAATGCAAGTGATGACAGTAACATCAATATGTTTACAAAAAATTAAATACCAACATTTTCACTGGTACAAATAAAAGTGATTATAGTAACTGACTAGATTTTGAATTACATGTGGCAGAAGAGAAAGACAGTGACAAGATGAGGAGTGTGGAGCTGAGCTACAGTGGCCTCTGACAGTTTTCCCACTGTTACAGACTAGTAGCTCTCTGAAGTAGTTATAAGACAATGAATAAATGGCAGCTGATGCAACTTTAGTCAAAGGGTGTTTTTGTGTGTGTATATCAACAATGTCTAGAAAACGCTGGGTGAAAATAAGCCATTTGTATCTGTTTGGAGTATATCATTTGTTTGTATCAAAGTGCATCCAGTTCCACAAGACGAACACTAATTTTTTTCCTCAGCCTTGTTAGAAACTGACAAATAGTTTATTAATACTTTGTAAACCTAATTTTATGCAACTTAAAAAAAACTTCAAAAGCACAACAATATATTATTATCTCCATGTCCAATAGTTCTATGATAATTTGATGTGGTTGTAACAGTTATATTTATCTTATAACAAACAATATCCCAGAAGGTTTTTATTACTGTGACTGTGGGTACCATTCACTAAGGTCTGCAGCTATTAATTTCCCATAATCAGCGTAGATTATACTGATAAAGAGATTGTATTGTTCATACAGCAACCAACTTTGATATATACAGACACAGCTGAACTTGACCGTACAGTGTGGGACTGTGCTGCCATCTTCATGGGACAAGGCGACTTCTCCTTCAGCTCCTCTAAGGCTTAAGACTTGGGCTTCTCTTGCTGAAGGCCTTCATCGCTGTACCTCATCCACTTTCCGCTAGGCCGCAACCTCCTCACTTATCTTCAACGGCATTTCACCCACCTACACACACACACAGTAGTATCTGTATGAACATTCAAAGCCATGTAAAACAGCATGGGCAGCACATTCCTCTGTGTGTCTTTACATGCACAGATGTAAACAGCATGGGTTAAATAGTGGCTGATCCTGCCTCATCCCTTTACAGATTAGCTGACTCCTGACTTTTAACTGCTCTTTTTTTTACTTCTGAGACCTGCTGCTGGGACCCAAGGGTCTTTGAAAGGCTCATACTAGTTTGTGGCACTCCTTTGCAACTTCAGTGCAACTTTAAAAACAAAACAAAAACACTATAGATTTTCTAGATCATTTTTGGTTTTGCTGTGACATTCATGTAGTATTTCTCTTAAACAGATAAAAGCATAGGCCTGTTTTAGGCTGTATGAAGTGGCATCTTTCAGTCCTATCAACACGTTGTCCTCGCCACGTTCTGGGCTTTACATGCTTGAAAGAATAAATCAAATCAAACAAAGGACTTAAAACAAAGCAGGCTATACGTGTTCGATGAAGACGCGCAAGTTGAGGCCACTTAACACAAAAGTAAAACACTTTGAGAGGCCACATGATGACCTAAACAATCCTGCCCTAGATAACAGAGAGGGCTAGCTCACTATATCAGATTACACTTCAAACGACACGCATCCTGGACTACAAAGTTGTAAAAGTCCAGTGAAAATCTAATTATTTTGGAGCCTCTCCCAGAAAGTCCGGCTCAGTCTGTCTGACCAGGGGCGCTTTCCTGAGACTTGGTGCTGAACGTCTCTTCCTATCCCCGGCTCACTGCGAGTGGTACAAGAAGGAAATAACTAGTTCTCAGTATTTCCGAAACATTCGGAGTTTACCGCCGCCGAGTCTTGACATCTCTAACTTTTTCACTCAGCCCGCTTCGTCTGGGGACGCACCTGAAATAGTTCAGCACCACCGTGTTAGACCCCGCCGGGCTCCCTAGTGTTTTCAGCGGCTTTACTATCATAGCACAGGGAACGCAGAGAGAGGCGATACGCTGGAGAGATTCTCCATTTCTCCCTCCTCTTCCCAGTTGAAATGCCCCCGTAGCTCCCGTTCACCCGGCGTTCACCAGCCGGTGAAACCACCGTCAGCCTCGTGTACAGCACGGAGTGACACAAGTGTTACATTCGGTCCGGTTTCTCTATCATTTGGATCATTACATTCCTCGTTTTTGCTCACTTACCTCCGCCATTCCGTTTCTGCGCAAGCTGACTATTGCCCGGATGTTGTAGGTCTACTCTACTGTGGAGCTTCGTTTTTGTTGCAACGATTCAACAACCGAGCTACACTTGGGTTCAGAGTAATAGGCTGATTGTTTCAAAATAATTCCGCTATTTTTGTTTCACTTCACAGCTGGCATTTGAGAATATCTCTTTAGTTTTGAATTACTGCTTTAAAGCCCATTCTATCATTACTAAAATCCTACTCTTACTGCAATACATGGGCAATTTATAATATACCGTTAAAAACAAAAACTAAAGGTATTTAGAAAATGCTAGTGCCCATATGCTACAGGTATAATAACATCTGAGCAGTTATGTTTAAACCCCGGGTTTCCAGTAGGCTTCTGAATTAACCAGTGTCATGTCTGTGGCTGCATATGTCGAGGCATGAGGCTTTAAGTCCCCTGAATGTGTGAATGAGGAAGGGTACAGGACATGGCAGATAAGAGCAGATTAAGCTATAAGGCTCTGTCCTCAGCCAGTGAGTTAATACAAATCATATCATTTATAGGGGCGACACATTTTTTTCTTACTGAACAACGAACTGCAAATATTCTAGATCTTAATTTTTGGAATTTCTTCTAACTTATGATGAATGACCAAAATAAACTGATATATGTATAAAGGATTTATACACATATAAACTATTTTTTTTTTTTAAAGAAAAACATCTTGTTTTTATTTTAGACACACTGTACTTCTGGTCCCTATGTGGATACAGCGACCTGCCTGACCTTTTGGTAGAGGCCAGTGTTGGAAAAAGACATGGTGATGTAGGTCTGCAGTACTTCTGTTTGAATTGAAGCTGTTTGCTTGAGCATTTAAGTAATAAGGGTGCATAAACTAAACTCTGTATTTTATTGAATAATGTTTTATTATTTTCAAGACACTCACCGATTTCTTATTTAGAGGGTGTTTTAATTTTTGTTTTCGATGTCTCCTAATGTTTATCTTTAAGAATTAATAACGCACAGTTTAAATGTTTTTATTAAGGTATTCGGTCTAAAAACAACTCTAATAAAGCAAATCAGACCGGTTGTAACCACTTCATTTCCAGTTTTCCATCCATCAGTATGAGTGAACCAGCCATTATGTGTCAAAATGTACTGTAGAGAAAAGAACTAGGTCAGTGTCAAACATAGGGCCAAACCACAGAGAGAAAATGGAACAAATAACATTTGTTTGTAGGGAGTTTGTGGTGTGTATGTACTGAATGAATAGATTTATGTGTAAGAGAATGGAAAACTTGGGTCAGAATAAAGGTTTGGACAGTAAATAAAAGATAAGCATGATATAGTGCACAGGACAATAGATCAATAACAGTTCTTATGTGTGGCTGACAGGATAACTGCTGTTCTGTGTTCATGGAGGAGGTAGAGAGACAAAAATGCACTTTTTGAATAAAAAAATCTCAGTCAGAGATGGACACATGCACATGCATCATATCTTTTTTCTTTTAAATAATTTGCATATCTAATATATTTGGTTTTATATGGCTGCTTTATTTGATTTGATTTTGATTTGATTTATTCTTTCAAGCATGTAAAGACAGTTGATATGACAACACACATGATTGTACACATAATCCAATATCAATTTGCTTATACCTAGTACATGCTTGAATGGAGTAGGAAGAAGTCAGACTTATCCAGTCCTACCCCATGACATCATCTTACCATCATTGGTTTACAAGCAGTATCTCTACATAAATAATTCTCTTCTACACCACACAAGTAATATACTAAAGAATTATAACAGAAATGTTAACATTCTTACATAATTACATTCTTAAATAATTATCTTCTACACCACACAAGTAATATA